ACAACATTGATATTTAGATGCATTTGTTGCATCATAGCTATGAAGCTAGACGTTATGTTACTACGGATCTAATCATATTTGCAATGGTACGCTGCAGGGACCACTCAATGATCGCAAATGTGAACTTACTTGTGCCAACCCTTTTACAACCAGATTTATCTCAGGGAAATACAGGGCAGGTCACAAACCAGGAAACCAGTAAGGATCTCTGACATGGAGACCTAACAACAGTTAAACAGGCACAATGAATGAGCCATAGATAGGCCTACATCTCAAACCGCTACTAGTTGGGACACTAAACTTTAGGGGACTTGTCCATACTGTGACCTGTGTCAGGAGGAATCCAGATGGCACGTCCTTGTTCCTCTCCTCATAAAATGTCCTGACCATAACAAACAGTAAAAGTGCCCATATTCAGCTCAAATTAGATAATATGCTAACAAAGTGTTTTCCATAAGTACATGGAGTAGGGGGGGTCTGTGGGGGCATTGTAGAAGGAGCTCTATTTTGGTGGCCTCTGGTAAATTCTAATGCCTTGCTAAATTATTGAACAACAAATGTACCTCCCAGATTGGTAAAATTAGTTGTGGTATTGAATAGAGACATGACTTTACAATTAAAATTACTGATTTTTTAAAACATTTTAGTCATTTAGCAGACGCTCTTATCCAGAGCGACTTACAGTAGTGAGTGCATACATTTTCATACTAAAATGGATGAATTCAGTGTGTTAGTTGTTTTGGATATCGTCTAGGCCTATATGATCAGGACTATGTTCTAAGTAAGAGAACCTTTAACATTAAATCAGTCTTCTCTTGAGATTAAAGTCATATTTGATTGGCTCTGTGGCTGTGGACACTAAGGGTTAGGAAACGAAAAAGGTCATTATGTATTTTAGGTGAACTATTCCTTTAATAGTTTGGCCTGTCAAAAAAATCACTGTGGGTGGGATTGTCAGGGGAGGGGGCAGGATGTTTGTGAGTCACAGAGTTGGTAGGGTTTCAGACCTGTCAATCAATCACTGTGGGTGGGACTTTGAGGCCAGGCGGTAGATTAGTAATCTAGTCAACAAATACTCTAGTCTACTCTCTCAATTTAATTTGTGGCAAAAACTAAATCTAATCTTTCAATTTAGTTTATTGTGGCAAAAACCTAAGACAAAAGGCTGTGTTCTGTCAAGTAAACATGGATTCCCTGTTGAGAAACAATATAGAATTGCAGCTAAATAAAACGGCAAACATTAAGGGGGAGAACCCCCAGCCCCCCCGTCAGATTGCACACCCTCACTTTTATATAAAGTCAGGTGGCCATGAATAAACATAGAGGAGTGATTGAAGAATGAAGCAGGTGTTAAACATGGACGTTGCTACACAGAAAGCAGCAGTTGACTACTCAGTTGTCCACACTTTAATCAAAACAGTAGGCCTAAATCAATATACACCGAGTATACCAAACATTAGGAACAACCTTCTTAATATTGAGTTGCACCCCCGCTTTTGTCCTCAGAACAGCCTCAATTCATCAGGGTATGGACTCTACAAGGTGTCGAAAGCATTCCAACGGTGTTGCAGTTCTTGACACAAACCGGTGCGCCTGGCACTTACTACCATACCCTGTTCAAAGGCACTTAAATCTTTTGTTTTCCCCATTCAACCTCTGAATGGCACACATACACAATCCATGTCTCAATTGTCTCAAGTGGTCCTCTGTAGCTCAGCTGGTAGAGCACGGCGCTTGAAACGCCAAGGTAGTGGGTTCGATCCCCGGGACCACCCATACACAAAAATGTATGCACGCATGACTGTAAGTCGCTTTGGATAAAAGAGTCTGCTAAATGGCATATTATTATTATTATTATTAAGGCTTAAAAATCATATTTTAACCTGTCTCCTCCCCTTCAGCTACACTAATTGAAGTGGATTTAACAAGTGACATCAATAAGAGATCATAGCCTTCACCTGGTCAGTCTGTGTCATGGAAAGAGTAGTTGTTATTAATGTTTTGTAGACTTACTGAAGATCATTACCATATAAGTATCAATAGCTTTTATAACCTTCAATCTGTTTTCTTTTATCATAATCTGGACCAGAATGTGGCTCCCTCCACTACCTACAGTCGTGGTCAAAAGTTTTGAGAATGACACAAGTATTGGTCTTCACAAAGTTTGCTGCTTCAGTGTTATGAGATATATGTATAATTACAAGCATTCCATAAGTGTCAAAGGCTTTTAATGACAATTACATTAAGTTAATGCAAAGAGTCAATACTTGCAGTGTTGACCCTTCTTTTTCAAGTCCTCTGCAATCCACCCTGGCATGCTGTCAATTAACCTCTGGGCCACATCCTGACTGATGGCAGCCCATTCTTGCATAATCAATGCTTGGAGTTTATCAGAATTTGTGGGTTTTTGTTTGTCCACCCGCCTCTTGAGGATCGACCACAAGTTCTCAATGGGATTAAGGTCTGGGGAGTTTCCTGGCCATGGACCCAAAATGTCGATGTTTTGTTCCCCGAGCCACTTAGTTAACACTTTTGCCTTATGGCAAGGTGCTCCATCATGCTGGAAAAGGCATTGGTCGTCAAACTGTTCTTGGATGGTTGGGAGAAGTTGCTCTCGGAGGATGTGTTGGTACCATTCTTTATTCATGGCTGTGTTCTTAGGCAAAATTGTGAGTGAGCCCAATCCCTTGGCTGAGAAGCAACCCCACACATGAATGGTCTCAGGATGCTTTACTGTTGGCATGACACGGGACTGATGGTAGTGCTCACCTTGTCTTCTCCGGACAAGGTGTTTTCCGGATGCCCCAAACAATCGGAAAGGAGATTCATCAGAGAAAATGACTTTACCCAAGTCCTCAGCTGTCCAATCCCTGTACCTTTTGCAGAATATCAGTCTGTCCCTGATGTTTTTACTGGAGAGAAGTGGCTTCTTTGCTGCCCTTCTTGACACCAGGCCATCCTCCAAAAGTATTTGCCTCACTGTGCGTGCAGATGCACTCACACCTGCCTGCTGCCATTCCTGAGCAAGCTCTGCACTGGTGGTGCCCCGATCCCGCAGCTGAATCAACTTTAGGAGATGGTCCTGGCGCTTGCTGGACTTTCTTGGGCGCCCCGACGCCTTCTTCACAACAATTGAACCTCTCTCCTTGAAGTTCTTGATGATCCGATAAATGGTTGATTTAGGTGCAATCTTACTAGCAGCAATATCCTTGCCTGTGAAGCCCTTTTTGTGCAAAGCAATGATGACGGCACATGTTTCCTTGCAGGTAACCATGGTTAACAGAGGAAGAACAATGATTTCAAGCACCACCCTCCTTTTAAAGCTTCCAGTCTGTTATTCTAACTCAATCAGCATGACAGAGTGATCTCCAGCCTTGTCCTCGTCAACACTCTCACCTGTGTTAACGAGAGAATCACTGACATGATGGCAGCTGGTCCTTTTGTGGCAGGGCTGAAAAGCAGTGGAAATGTTTTTTGGGGATTAAGTTCATTTTCATGGCAAAGAGGGACTTTGTAATTAATTGCAATTCATCTGATCACTCTTCATGACATTCTGGAGTATATGCAAATTGCCATCATCAAAACTGAGGCAGCAGACTTTGTGAAAATTAGTATTTGTGTCATTCTCAAAACTTTTGACCACGACTGTATTGTTCCTGCATTGAGGATTCAACAAATTCATAATTTATCTGCAGATAATTGCCAAAGATCAGTAGTAGCCTACCATTATGCAAATTAGGGAGCCAAATTAACGGCTCTCTCACCGACGCGATTCGGTTCCCGACATTCACCTAAAAGGCGGCAGGTAGCTTAGTGGTTAAGAGCGTTGTGCCAGTAACCGAAAGGTCGCTGGTTCTAATCCCCGAGCCGACTAGGTGAAAAATCTGTCCATGTGCCCTTGAGTAAGGCACTAAACCCTAATTGCTCCAGTAAGTCGCTCTGGATAAGAGCGTCTGCTAAAATGACAAAAAATGTTTGGTTTTTTTATGTAAAAGATTTGTTCAAAAAGAGCCGTTTGTTCGCGTACAACCCATCACTAGGCAACACTGACGGGTCACTTTAGCAGTCACTGGCAAGTCTCGATATGGGCTTAGAATCCTAGGAAAATACAAACAAGATCTTTGGTTTACGTGTAGCGATACCATGGACATATTCACTGGACAGTTTATTAGGTACACCCATCTAGTACTGGGTTGGACCCCCTTTGGCTCCAGAACAACCTAAATTCTTTGGGGCATGGATTCTACAGGTCGGAAACGTTCCACAAGGATGTTGGTCCATGCTGACGCGATGGCCTCACACAATTGTTGCAGATTTGACGGCGATACACCACCGCCACCAGCCTGTAACGTTGACACCAGGCAGGATGTGTCTATGGACTCATGCTGCATACGTCAAATCCTGACTCTGCCATCTACATGACACAACAGCAACCAGGATTTGTCGGACCAGGCAATGTTTTTCCACTCCTCAAACTTGGTTTTAGCTGATAGGAGTGGAACCTGGTGTGGTCATTTGCTGAAATAGCCCATCCGTGAAAAGGATAGACGAGTTGTGCATTCCGAGATGCCGTTATGTACACCACTGTTGTACTGGGCCATTATTTGTCTGTTTGTGGCCCGCCTTTTAGCTTGCATGATTCTTGACATTCTCCTTCGACATCTCTCATCAGCGAGCTGTTTTCACCAAGAGGACTGCCGCTGACTGGATGTTTTTTGTTTGTCGCACCATTCTCGGGACACCGGAGACACTTTTGTGCGTGAAAAGCCCAGGAGGGTGGCCGTTTCTGAGATACTGGATCCGGCGTGACTGGCACCGACAATCATACCACGCTCAAAGTCGCTTAGGTCACTCGTTTTGCCCATTCTAACGTTCAATCGCTTTTAAATAGCTTAGTGACCATATGAAAATGAAACAGGGAAACAGACACTTACTTCTTCAGTGCCAGGCTAGGTTACTCTGAAAACTTGCCACCTTTGTGTAAATATTTGTATCTCACCTTGCGTGACAGCAGGCATCCCCACAGAACCTCCATGGGGACTCCTCTCCCTGGTCTGGCTCTGGGGCGATCCACTATCCGCCATCGTCGAGGGTGACATCATTGGGACAGAGGACACCCCCATGGGGAGAGGGCTGCCAGTGCCCCCCCGGCCCATGTGGTGGTGCTGTGGGCTGCCCCGTGGAGGGGTGAAATTCTGGGAGGTAGGGGGCATCATCTGAGCCTGGGACTGGGACGGGGGCTGGGGTTGTGGAGCGGGAAGAGGTGGTTGCTGGGGCTGGTAGTAGGGCATCCCATTGGGCACCATGCTGTAGTGCTGAGGTTGCTGGTGGTGGTGTGGGTGGTGGTGCGGGTGGAGGTGCTGCTGTGTCTGTTGGTGAGCGGATGGCTGTGGAGGCTGCTGCTGGTGATGCTGTGAGGGCGCAATCCCAGGGTGTACCTGGCTCTGGTAGGCCCCGTACACACCGTGTGAGTTATACCCCATTGCCATGGCTGCGCTGCTCTGCTGTTGCCCCGGGTTACCCCTGTTCCAGTACTGGCCCCCTGTAAGAGTCACGTTTGGTGGGGCCGCCACGGGTGGCTGATGGGACCCAGGCATGCCCCCGTTCAGTTGGTACTGTCCGTGACCCTGGAAGTGGTGCTGGCTCTGTTGCTGCATCCCCCCAGGTGGAGGCTGTTTCTGGTGCATGCCATGCCCAGGAGACGAGCCCATGGCTGGGCTGTAATGTGGCTGTCCTCCCCACAGGTAGTCGTAGCCCATGCTACTCTGGTGGTGGTTGCTCATGTGGGGATATGAGGCTGTTGGAAGGTGGGAGCCAGGCACACTGGGCCCAATTACAGTAGTGATGCCATTCACATTCATTTCGCCATTCATATCTGCAAAGGTGGTCAGGGACGAGAGTAAGAGAGGATGGGTCAGATAATTGTTCAGTGTGTTCAATTCGCACAGCATCCACAGGTCATGCATCAAGGAATCATTCATTTGTTGTGGTATGATCATGATATTGATTGCTTATGCACCAAACACCTGGTCTAGAGTTACGTACAATCTTTTGCTCATTATAAAGGGTCAAGAGACTGGGGCAGAGAGAGATGAAATCTAAATCAGTTATTGATGTAAAAATAGTGAGGCAGAGAGTAACCACAGCAAATGTGGTTAGATGGGGCTGTACTCACTCTTCCCCTGCGGAGGGAAACTCATAGAGGACCCGTTAGTATAGAGAGAATCCCCTGAGGAGAGTTTCAGTCCTGAGTTAGCAGACACGGAGGAGTGGCTGCCATAGTTGAAATGGTTGTTCGACTCCATCTGAAAAACAAGTAGCACAGACCACAAGTCATGAAGAGAAACAAAGAAAATAGGAAAAATATTTTCCTGCATATCAAATTAAAATCACACCAGAATTCCCTGCAGCTGAGTCATAAATAGGCTATTCTTACAAGCAGAATACACACGCAATAGATGGTTTTCATAAATAAAATACGTGTGTAGTATAAAACAAATAGCATGTTTTTTATATATATATATATATATATATATACACACATACACACACACACACATATATACACACAGCTGTGGAAAAAAGTAAGAGACCACTGCAATTTTTTCTTAAATCAGCATCTCTACATGTATGACAGCCATTCCATTCCAGTGTCTGTTGAATTCCAACACAGGCACACCTCATTCTACTGAATTAGGTACCTGAACCAAATCTTTTTTAACGAGGAAAAGTATAAAAAAACACTGCTGTGGTCATCACTATCCTCTTGCAATAGGACCAGCTGGATGGCAAAAACAGTGCTAATAGTACCTCAAAAGTAATATTAATAAAAAAAATAACTATTGACCATGCCAAAATAGTTGAAAAGGAAAGTTTTGAGTGAGGAAAAGAAGGGTTCAATTCTAGCTTTACTGGCAGAGGGATACAGTGAGCGTCAGGTTGCTTCCATCCTTAAAATTTCAAAGACGGCGGTTCATAAGAACAAGGTCAAGCAGCAGACATTGGGGACAACAAAGCACAGACCAGCAGAGGGTGAAAACGACACTCTACTGACCGGGATGACCGCCAACTCATTCGAATGTCACTCAACCTCCGTAGGATGACATCAAGTGACCTACAAAAAGAATGGCAAACGGCAGCTGGGGTGAATTGCACGGCGAGGACGGTTCGAAACAGGCTCCTAGGGGCAGGGCTGAAGTCGTGGAAAGCTAGAAAAAATCCCTTCATCAATGAGAAGCAAAGAAGAGCCAGGCTGAGGTTTGCAAAAGACCATAAGGATTGGGCCGTAGAGGACTGGATTAAGTTCACCTTCTCTGATGAGTCCAATTTTCAGTGTTGCCCAACACCTGGTCATCTAATGTTTAGACGGAGACCTGGAGAGGCCTACAAGCCCCAGTGTCTCGCACCCACTGTGAAATTTGGTGGAGGATAGGTGATGATCTGGGGGTGCTTCAGCAAGGCTGGAATCGGGCAGATTTGTCTTTGTGAAGGACGCATGAATCAAGCCACGTACACGGTTGTCCTGGAAGAAAACGTGCTTCCTTTTGCTCTGACATTGTTCCCCAACTGAGGATTGTTTTTTCCAGCAGGACAATGCGCCATGCAACACAGCCAGGTCAATCAAGGTGTGGTTGGAGGACCACCAGATCAAGACCCTGTTGTGGCCAGCCCAATCTCCAGACCTGAATCCCATTGAAAACTTCTGGAATGTGATCAAGAGGAAGATGGATGGTCACAAGCAATCAAACAAAGCCGAGCTGCTTGAATTTTTGCGCCAGGAGTGGCATAAAGTCACCCAACATCAACATGAAAGACTGGTGGAGAGCATGCCAAGACGCATGAAAGCTGTGATTGAAAATCAGGGTTATTCAAACAAATATTGATTTCTGTACTCTTCCCAAGTTAAAACATTAGTATTGTGTTGTTTAAAAATGAACATGAACTTATTTTCTTTGCATTAATCGCGGTCTGACAACACTGCATCTTTTTTGTTATTTTGACCAGTTGTCTTTTTCTGCAAATAAATGCTCTAAATGACAATATTTTTTATTTGGAATTTGGGAGAAATGTTGTCAGTAGTTTATAGAAAACAAAAAAAAATGTTTTACCCAAACACGTACCTATAAATAGTAAAACCAGAGAAAATTATAATTTTGCAGTAGTCTCTTACTTTTTGCCAGAGCTGTATATATACACACACACACACACAAAGTAACTAGCTAGATCCATACACTAAAATTACTTGGTTACAACTGCAGGCGTTGGCAAGCCTGAGATGGACTACTATGAATGATGACACGTTGTGGACGACATGATCACAAACATTGCACTCCCATAACTCCCTACAAATGTCGCAGTTAGAGCAGCAGATGGGATGCCCTGGCCAACAAAATAATGGACAATGTACGCCACAGATTGATCCAGCACAACGGACCCGTTTTGATAACGGAAAAACTACAATATTTTGGTCTGAGATACATGTTTTCAAGAAAACTACAAGTTGAAAAAAAGGTATATCGTAGTTTTCAACAAGTACATATTGTATGGAACGTCTGCCAGTTCGTAAACCCAATGTTTAACTGCGTTTTTCAACATCCATCCCACGATAAACAGTATATTAGCACGAAAAGCTAACTAACACTAGTAGCTGAAAACATTGGCGTGTCATACTACGGTAGATCGCTGCAACTGTAACCTACATGTTTGGGCCATATCACAAATATATGGTAATTGCAATAACCAAAACAGCAGTTATTCATTTATTAGTTACTTTCAAACGATATAACATTTTATTCGATTGTACATCATTCTGCTTACCATCTCTCACAGGCTAGGCTAACTACCACACGTGACCATGCGCTCGCGGATAGTACCCACCCCCCCCCGACCTGAATTTCTCTCATCCACAGCTCAACAAGCTAACTAGATTATCTGTGTAGCTAGCTAAGTGTTCATCGACATAAATCAAAATGTAGCCCTCTGATAAAAAGCCGACTTTTTTTCTCTCTCTTTTTTTACTATGGCTGTGTTTAATAAAAACAATTATTGTTTTACATTTGTTTCATGATAACATGGTTGCTATCTATTTTAACTTGTCCAATTGAAGTTGATTCATTTAATGTTTGCTTGTTAGCTAGTTAGGTCATTATAGCTAAACCATCTAGCTACTGTAGCTAACGTTATCCAGTTGCTTATCAAACGGTCAATAACGAAAACAAAAAGGGCTTAGCAGGGCTTGTAATGTTAGTTGAATTGAATAACAAAATTACTCGAGCAGTTGCATTAAGCATGTTTCGTTTTGGTATTGTCCATATCTTGACAAGTTAGTTAACTTGTGTACTAGAGTAGCTAAATATTTTCATATTAACTTTCATTCAAAACTCGCTAGTAGATAAACGGCTAATGCTCATTAAATAACGTCATTTCCAACTAGCGAGATAGGCCTATCTGGTTAGCAACACCGCGCTCAGTTAGCATCTGAATTCACGTCTTTCTACGCTCTGCAACAAAAACAATCCACAAAGGAGGTCGTGAGATGTAACTAGATAGTTACATTTAATACAATCGGGTTGAAATTATAGAATTTGCTGGTTGTTTCAACATTCGACACAGCGAGGCCCTATTAGATAACGCTAAATTCAAGGTTATTTACAATAATCAGCAACTGAAGTTACAACGCAGTGTAAAACTAGCTAACTAATAACAGTCACAGCGGGTAGCTAACTAGCTAATAAAACGTGGAGAATCGAAACAGTAGTCTTGGAGTCTCTCGTTCTTGTTTACGTTACTGAACATTTTAGGATGCTCTTTTGTTAGCAAGCTAATAAACTCATTGTTTTCGCTGTAACATTATTTGCCTTAGATATTGTGAAACAGCATCATCCTCCCTCACACACACAAAAGTTTTCGCCATAAAATTGAATTAAAACTGCCTAACCTTGTAATCCTTGAATTTCAAAGGCACCGATGCCTTTGATTCTCCGATTGAACAAAAATGGTTGAAGACGGTACAGGCTATGTAAATAATAAACAGGTTTTCGCTAACCTTTGGGTTTCAAATTAGCAAACATGGCTGGTGTTTGAGCGCAGCCATGATCACAGAAGAGAGCGAAATCCGAACCGCAAGAGGAAGTGAATGGGTTACACACTGCGGGCAGCCTGGTGAGCTCTGGGTCCTAGCGCCGAAAAATCATAAATTAGACTTGTCATCTGATGTACAGTTGAAGTCGGAAGTTTACATACACTTAGGTTGGATTAATTAAAACTCGTTTTTCAAGCACTCCACAAATTTCTGGTTAACAAACTATCGTTTTGGCAAGTCGGTTAGGACATCTACTTTGTGCATGACAAGTAATTTTTCCAACAATTGTTTACAGACAGCTTATTCCACTTATAATTGACTGTATCACAATTCCAGTGGGTCAGAGGTTTACATACACTAAATTGACTGTGCCTTTAAACAACTAGGAAAATTCCAGAAAATGATGTCATGACTTTAGAAGCTTCTGATGGGCTAATTTACATAATTTGAGTCAATTGGAGGTGTACCTGTGGATGTATTTCAAGGCCTACCTTCAAACTCAGTGCCTCTTTGCTTGACATCATGGGAAAATCAAAAGAAATCAGCCAAGACCTCAGGAAAAAAATTGTAGACCTCCACAAGTCTGGTTCATCCTTGGGAGCAATTTCCAAACGCCTGAAGGTACCACGTTCATCTGTACAGACAATAGTACGCAAGTATAAACACCATGGGACCACGCAGCTGTCATACCGCTCAGGAAGGAGACGCGTTCTGTCTCCTAGAGATGAACGTACTTTGGTGCGAAAAGTGCAAATCAATCCCAGAACAACAGCAACGGACCTTGTGAAGATGCTGGATTAAACCGGTACAAAAGTATCTATATCCACAGTAAAACGAGTGGACAAAATCTGAAAGGCCGCTCAGCAAGGAAGAAGCCACTGCTCCAAAACCGCCATAAAAAAGCCAGACTACGGTTTGCAACTGCACATGGGTATAAAGATTGTACTTTTTGGAGAAATGTCCTCTGGTCTGATGAAACAAAAATAGAACTGTTTGGCCATAATGACCATCGTTATGTTTGGAGGAAAAAGGGGGTGACTTGCAAGCCGAAGAACACCATCCCAACCGTGAAGCACGGGGTGGCAGCATCATGCTGTGGGGGTGCTTTGCTGCAGGAGGGACTGGTGCACTTCACAACATAGATGGCATCTTGAGGAAGGAAAATTATGTGGATATATTGAAGCAACATCTGAATAAATCAGTCAGGAAGTTAAAGCTTGGTCG